CCTGGCTCTGCCTCTTGAGTACTGGGATTAAAGGCATGCGCCACCACTGCCTGGCTCCAAATCCTTATTTTTTGTCCGCCTGTGAAACAGGGCAAGTGATCCCTCCCTTTTCTGTATCAATGGAAACATGTTTAGAGTCCATTAACGAACCCCTGAGCTGGGTGTAATAGTGTAGGCCTATAATTCTAGCACTAAGGAGGCTGAGGCTAGAGGAGCTCCAGTTTGAGGCCAGCCTGGGCTACATGAGGAGACCCTCTCCCCTACCACCCCTAAATCTAGAAGTTGTAAATGTGAGGTCGTAACAGTACTCAATTCAATCATAAATAAAGCCAGGCCCACTTGTCAGTTCAAAGGTAAGACGTGAGTGCGCAGGCGTTCTTGATCCCAACTCCTTTCCCAAGGCATCAGGAGATCAATAAATAGCAGCCTCTTTCTTATTTGTTTGGTGATATTTCATTTCAGATCATAATCAGATTTTTTATCTCAGGGAGAAAGTATGCTATGAATTAAGATTTTTAATTGTAATATCCATGAATACTCTGCCTACAGAATGCCATTGGCCCCAGGGATATTTACCTAAAGCTGGGTAATCCTGAATTCTGGCAAGGTGTCCTTTCATTTATGAGGGAGATTAGGTCCGACCACTGAAACGTTGGCGTTATCAGGTCTCGGCCCACAACTTCTGGAACCTCTGTGGGATTCATTGCACTGAACCTGTATCAGGCACTCCGAGACTCCCCAGTGTCGATTCTTGTACATCCTCAGAAGGCTTCCTCCCTGCTAGCTCATACTCAGACTATGCATGCTGCCCCCACCCCCGTCCCTCTGAAGTCTTTCCCATGGAGTCTTAATTCACCCCAAAGACCCCTTTCCCCATTAGCTTGTCTGACCCTCCTGTAGACTAAATTCAAACACGGGCCAGCACAGACAGCCTCGCCTCCTCTTGCCACCCTACCTTAGAGCCCATATCTACCTCTCTAGTCTGACAGAACTCACATGGGGCACCTGCTGGCTCTTAGTTTAGCATTTGGATACTACTTTGGGGGAACTGAGGATGTAGTCCCATGAGCAGAGTGCCTGCCTAGCATCCATAAAGCCTTAGGTTCGATTCCCCGAAAGGAAAAAACCTGGCATGATGGCACACACCTGTAATCCCAGCACTCAGGAAGGTCAAGAATGGGCGATCCCATGTTGGGAGTAGATCCCATGTGGAAAGGAAGAAGGATGATGGAATAAGAAATTACCCTAATGTTGGCATGGGCTGTGGCCAGAATACAGGGCACAGTAAAGGGCATAGAGCTGGGACTCAGGTCTTTAATATGTCCCAGGAAGTTTCCCAAGAGGAACAGGGTTTTAAATGAGGCTTAGAAAATGAATAGATTAAAAAACTAGGTTTTAGAAGGGTGGTGGGGTAGAGAAGAGGCAGGAAGGTCAGAAGTTCAAGGTCATCCTCAGCAAAGTAATAAATTAGAGGCCAGCTTGGGATGCAGAACTCGCAGCCTCAGAACAACAAAACCTACTCTGCCGGGCATTTTCAAATTACAAAGAATTCACACGTATATTACTGTGGGCTTTGGGATTAATACTGGATGATGAGTGCAGCTATTATTATCTTCCCTGCTAGTGATAAGAAACCTGAGGCTTCTGAGGCTGCAGGACTTGACCTGGCCTCTGGCTAAGCAAAACAGGAACTTGCAGTGTTCCAAGGCAACTCCCTTGAGATAAAAACCATGTCACCACTCTTACCCCTCCTGCCCCTTAGCACATACCAATCACATAGTAGATACTTAGCTAACACTTCTTGACATGAAATCCACATGCATCTACAAGGAAATAATTCAAATGGCATATTGCATTGATACAAATATGTGTTCACGCTATGAGCCTCTTTAAGTGTAAAGAGTGGTGCTTGTAGTGTTATTTTTATTACAGGGACTCAGTAAACAGTCAAGGGAGACTCTAACCCACAGACATGACAGAACAACCAGAGGGCGGCCACTAGTGCAGGTATTCCCACAGCTCTCAGAGCAGCCTCACTGCCTCTCGGAAATGGATGGAATGTGCATGTCCAAACTTGCTCAACGGGGTGGACAAGCTGTTAGTCCTTGAAAACCCAGAGTGCACGTAAGGACTCAAATTTCCAGCACCTTTAGACATCAAGTAGGCCTCAGCTCCACTACCGTGGCAGGAAGAACTTCTCTGGAATTAGGCAGAGTGATGACTGACTACCTTTCCATTCTGGAAGAAACCGGGGAAATCTCCTATCACTGGAATAAATTTCCCAGGTACTCTAGGCTGTTCTGGCCCTGGGCAGAACCAAGGAGTGACTGTTGTTGTTGTTATTATTGCTGTTGCTTGTCATGTGCCTTCATCTACCAGAATGATACCAATTCTGACTGAGTGTACAGACAGTTGCTGGAAACCTAGGTGTGCATCACATGTACCACCTGCTTCACCTGAGGACCCTGTGAGAAGGTCCTCACATTGTCAGCTGATAGTATGTCTGTCTTTAGGGCGTACAAATGTTTCTCCTTAGAACTGCATGGATGGATGAGAGGAAAGCCAGTCTGTGTCTCCAGTTGTCTTCTACAGATACAGTTTAAACAATATATACATGCAAGTTTTTTGTGTATTCTAGATTATCCCCATGTTGGAGACAAAGAAACGGGCCCAGAGCAACTGAGTGATTGTCCCAAGACACAAACTGAGTAAGTCACGCCTGCTCATCATGCCTGTGTCTACGAGTTTGCAGATCTTCAACTGCCCATAGCTAGATTTTGTAGCTGAGGACAGTAAGTGTGTGTGCATGTTTTTATCTCTCTTCTGTCTATCTATACCTGCAATTAATTTTAGTTTATTGATTAGTCATGGTAAAACATTACAGTAAAAATAATAAAATAGATTAATCATAATACACTGAAATAGGTTAATATATGTATTATTGGCAATATATACTGCAATTTTATATATAATTTACTGAAAAGATTTATATATATATATATATATATATATACATTATATGTACGTGTTACCTAGCTAATCCAGATGAGGTAAATATCTGATTTTGAATTTGAATCTATTAGGATATATACGTATTTCAGTATATTATAATATATAATATATAATACATATATATATTGCCAACATCAGTACCCTTCTTATATGAGTCATTATTAAGTGAAAATTATTTGAACATAGCACTGCCATACCTTCGTATACAATCTCATAACTCAAGCAGCTACTAAGGGAGTACCCGGTGGGTAGTATATACAGTGTGGAGACGGTGCAAATGAGTGATTCATGTTCTGAGCTGTGCACACTGGCCAGGA